TCCTCTTGCAGACCTTTTTCACCTATTTTTTCTGCACTTTTCACAATAGATATTCCTTATCCCTATGCTATCACTTGCTACTCAAAGAAGTTTCCAAGCACTCAAAGGAGTTTCCAATGTTTATTCTGTACCTTTGATAATACATACAACAACACAATGCATAATTTTTCTAGTCATAAGAACTTTGTTCGATCGTGGTTGTCCATCGTTGCCGATGATGACTTCTACGTTGCGCCCTCTTCTCATCTTTTGTGCACCCGCATGTGGCTCAGGAGTCCAATTCTGGATCTGCAGGGTCGTCCGCACTGCTCGCAGGTGAACTGGAACGGACTCTGCTCCCTGGTCACTGCTGCTGCTGCTGCCGCTGCTTTACGTCTCTGTCTAGCTTCAACAATATTTTTACGACGTGTCCTCTCAAAGTTCTCCTGCGCAAGCTTGGTCAGCGAGCGCCAGCCACTGCGGTCCTGTGCTTGTTTCTCGAGTTGTTTAGGGGGTATGTCAGCATACTTGATGTTCTCCTTGATACTGTCTTTAAAACGTTTCTGAGGCCTACCCCTCTTTGAACAAACTAAAACACAGTGACCTCAGTTTAACATATAGCCATGTACAAATTTTCTCAATTAAAAACTTTTGTCTTAAAACTTCCCTCAACAAGCCTTGATGATGATGATGATGATCTTACCTACTTGTTGGAAATGTTACTCAAAACTGTATTATGGAAGAGACAATACTCCTACTTGTACAAAGGTGTTTGTAATCTTCAAGTAGTTATGTGAAACTTTTGTTTCCACTGTATAATGGGATTGCTAGAGTTTTAGGTTCCCTTTTCTTCAAAACAAGTAAAGTTAAGTAGAGGTCACTGTGTTTTAGTTTAATCATATTGGTCCTGTCCTTAGTCCTGAAATCTTGGTTCGTCAATGGTATCCACTAATGAATTACGTAATGCTGAATTTCATCATAGAGCAGATGATAATATAAGCCATATAGGACATCAGGAATCTTGACTTACCTGGAATTTTGTCATTACAACTGTTACTACTGTAACTGTGATTTCATTCAATCTGTTCAAGATTAGATCAGCTCGGTCCCGTCCTTGGTGCTGATTGTTTTTTTCATACTGAAAAATATTAATTGACTTCTTCATACATTGCTTCCTCTCATTGTTTTTGGTCATGTCATGTTTACACATTCCAATTTTATGTCAGTGTTGCTTAATAAATAGTCAACTGCATGCATGGTGCGCCTTTTCCCATTTGAATTCTCTTGGTCTTTAATAAATGGTTTTTATTGGTGCAATATTACCCGTGCATCGCAGCCTTTCTGGTGCTGAATTGATGCAGGGTTTGCAATCATCAGGACAATCAAATAATACATGTGATACGCACTAGTATAACAAATTTGCTCCACACCTTTTTGTGGAACTGTCGCAAGGGTCTGTGCGGCTGCCATTCGGCACCACCAGGTGACCTCAATACGACTTTCCTCAACTGATGTTAGGTTACCCATTCACACCTGGGTGGAGTGAGGAAAGTCGTGTAAAGTGCCTTTCCCAAGGGCACAACGTCGGGGCGGATGTCCGGACATGTACCGGACATGATCTGATCCTACCTTAGCAGCTTTTTTTTTTTTCAAAACACATAATTCTTTTTCACACACCCTCCTTGCATTGTATTTACTACCTTTAACAGCTTGTTTTCATAATCATCATCATGATGCCTCCAGATTAATTTTCCGGTGAGTACACTTGACATAAATGTTTTTCAAAACTTATACATTGTAGTACTTTTTCATGCAGCCTCCTTGTATTGCATTTCCTGATTAGTTTGCATCTTTTCTCTTGATGCTAAGACATACTAATAACATTTTTTAATTGTTGAATTGCTGTTGGACAGTGTTGCACTTCCGGCTTGTATCCCCAATTTCTATATATAATGAATGAAAGTATATATATCACAATGCTATGTATCCTCTGTCAAAAGTTAAATGACTAGCCTACAGCCACCACTCCAATTGCCGCTGGACAGTGTTGTACTACCGGCTTGTATCCCCAACTTCTGTATATAATCTATGAAAGTATATTTATATCTGAATGCTATTTATGTTCTGTCAAAAGTTAAATGACTTCGTCTTAAACTTTGTCTTCTTACAAACATGCTACAATTTGATATATTACACATACTTCTACTTCCCTTTCCTTTTGAAAAATACATGAATTTGCTTTTTAGTTTGGTCAAAATCTGTTTTAACCTTTCTTTGATCACCTGAGATCTTTCTCCTTATTTTTGTGATATTGATGCTCTCATACCTGAAATATTTTTGAATTTCTGTCTGTGTCACTCTCGTTGTGCCTAGATAAAAACAGCGGCAGAATCACACGGAAACACACAGACACACCAAAAACAAACCTCTGTACATGGAGGTAACAATAGGACACAGCACCAACACAAGATGACAATAAGTTTATAATCCCATTATTTTTATAAAGCTCTTTAAAGTGACTGGATCAATCGGTGAAATGAATTAAACGTTAGGAATAAGGATGAATAATAAAAATGACACTGATTTTGTGCTACTCATCTTTTTCTATAATGTTAAACTCTTGCATTGAAGTTATCATTTCTTAACCCTTCTGATACAAATCTATCCACATACATTTATTTTGGAATGCTATTAAAGTTTTGTAACAATCATTGGCTTTCATTTTTAAATATGCAGCTTTTAAATCAGAGAAACTTCTGTTATTACTGTCAATGGAGCTCAGCTTGGCACTTATAATATGATAGTTTGAAAACTTCATCACAATGTGACTGTACATCATACCACAGTGCATTTAGGTTTGTAGGTTAAGATACGTGTAAATGTAGTTTTGTATAGTAACTTAAGAAAATACAAGTAATCATTAAATTTTGAAGGTCATGATATACAAACATGTATTGCATCTATTACTTTTGCCCTAAAATTCCAGCAACATGATTGTCAGTAGAATATTGAACTTTGTTGAACTTATTGAAAGTTGTATTAGTTATGACATTATTAGTTCATAATAATATTGCACTTCTTGTGCTAGCACTGTATGTTTTCCTGTATAGCTCTACCAGAGAGTTGCATGTATTAAACTGCATAGAATTAGGGAGTAGTTCCAATTTCTATCATTGAAGATTATGATTATTTGTGAATAGAGCTGTGTACCTAAACAAATTTTAGGTACAGGTACAGGTACAGGTACACAGGTTTAGGTACAGGTCCGGACCTGAACCTGTACCTGAACAATTCGACCAATTTATATGCTCTTCTGAACTCCTTCAATAACAAAAAAAAACATAAATAAACTTGATAGTTAAGGTTTATTCTTTGTTTATGGCGAATGCTCAGATAAAATATAGGCTATATATATGTTTTTGTTTTCATGAACACACTGTCCTTACACAGGGACCCATTGTTAACCAGCTATTTACACATTTGAGGTCACAAATAGGCATAAAATTGGTGTGAAATTGTTTAGGTACAGTACCGGTACTGAGGGATTAGGTATTTTGGACCTGTACCTAATCAATTTTACCGGTACAGTATCGGTACTGCGTACCGGTACACAGCTCTATTTGTGAATAGTTTTGTTGTTAGAACTACAAAAAAATATTCTGACTTCTAATGGAAGAATAATTTATCTTTGACTTGAAGATTTGTCATAATTATGACAATGAGTAACAAAAAAAGTAAAACTTTCACGTTTTCTTGAAAATAGAAACATCTCTTGAATAAGTATCTCTTTGTGTGTCATCTTTTATGTCATTTAATTGAGATCTCGTAGTTAAGAGGTTGGGAGAGGGGCAAATTTCTTAAGAAAGGCATTTTTAAAGGCCATATTAGTCCTGTCCTTGGTGCTGAAAACCGGAGCACAGCTTTCCTACGTTTTTGGCCACTTTTCTCAGCTACAAAATGTGATCGCATCTAGAGTTCCACATTGCTACCTATATCTAAAGGTATCTAGACGCACGTTTAAAGGAAATAACAAGTTTTAATCTCATATTTTGCTGTTTTCCTTCTTTTATGTGTTCTATGATATGATACTTCTGCATGGAATTTCTGTAAATTTACAAAGAAAAAAATATTTTCTTTTGATAACCCGAGACCCACAAATTTTAGAAAAAGTGGGGCATTACGTCTTCCATGCTTTACACAAGAGAAGTCAAACCCTTCATAGTTTAAGACATAGGTATAATTTTAGACAATCGCATTGAGTTATTAAGTAGATTTTGAAGTCATTTTGTACCCTGTTTCAATGTCCTTTTGCAATTAGCATTCGGGGAGGAATTTGCAATAAAACTTATCTAAACATGGGACCTCCACCTAAGATGACATCTGAAACAAGCTAGGTACTCATTTTCACATGAGTCAGGTGAGGAAATACATTTGTACGTAGGTTTTAAGAGCCTTTCAAAAGAGCACAACAGTGGGACCTACATGTACCAGGGCCACGCCAATTTAATTTCTTGCTTAACGGATTTTTCTACAAAAATAATGGAGTGGGCGGGCGAAAAAAAAACAGGCCTAGGCATCCTATTATGGCCCAAAATGGTGCGATAGGAGCCATGAAGTCAACATCAGGCTGGTTCAAAATTTAAACAATGAATCTTGAACTTTTATATGATACCATTGCATTGACGGATGGAAAAACTGTAACAATTAGGAAGAAAAGGATTGTTTTCAACTGTTCGGTGCAAAATAATTGAGCATTTTGCAGTTGATTTTTTATTTTTATTTGCAAATCAGAAAAAAATGAAGCGGCGAATCTGTTAACCAAGAAATTAAATTGGTGTGGCCTCAATCCAAACTATAAGACCACCAATTAATGTAGAAAGCTTGCTCAATATTCCTGCAGTCATTGTTCATTACTGGAACAGGATTAACAAATACATGTACATCAAGCAGATGAATGAAATATACTTAACGCAACTTTTGGTTGGATTTTTTTTCTAGCCATATTCACAAAAGACAGAACATCAGAATGTTTTAAAATTTTTATTTTCTTGGTACCAGATGCAGAAATCATTCATTTGACTGTCAGAAAACACTATGTTTATATCATCATAATCCTTTAAGTTACTTGCCATGACATAAAAAGACAAGCATAAAAATGTACCCAAATAACATTTGTTAAGCTGTTGTATACTTCGCTGTACAAAGATGTACAACACAATTCTTAAATGGTTCATACAGTGAGTCAGTATTTATATTATAACCGTCTGTACTTTGTATATCCAACACTCAAACCAAAAAAAGTTGACCTCAACCTAAATATTGTTACACTTCTGATTACAATGATGTAACACCAAGAAGAGGATTTTATAAACATATAGATACATTTTACATCATCCCAAATATTTCATGCTGTAAGCTAGAATTTACAAAATAGATGCTGCCAGGCAGTAATGAATATGTATACATTTCAGCAAGACTAACCCAACCTGTATGGAGACTGTCAGAGTCATGGATCCTAAATAGAAAATTCATGAATGCCACAGAATTATGTTAGTGCAAAGAGGTTCAAAACAAAGAGTTTTCTTTTTGAACCTCCTTGGTTACTGCTTGCTGCACCTTTAGTTTTGGACCCCAAATCCTTAAAATGTCTGCTAGTCTGTCTAGTAGGTAAATCACTTTGTTCTAGTAGGTTCTTGTCTGATCAGCAAAACTCCTGAAAAATTTGGTTAAAAAGTAGGTTTCGATGAGACCTTGAAATGATTCGATTGGGGCCCCCTGGTGGCCTGATACAATACTGCAGGGGAACTTCCTGTTTTCATACCTCGTGATCTGGACATGCTGGGGTCACCAATCATGGATGGTCGGTATATCTTGTACTTGGGATGAAAAGGGAAAAGCTTGGGCTGCCTAGCAGCTTTTTCTTGTAATTTGCTTAAAAGCAGTTTGCTGTGTCCATCGAATTTGGCTGATGCCACAGGACCTTGAACCTACATGTTGTAAATGTGCAAAAAGGGAACAATGTGCCAGAGGTAAAAGGATTTGGGGTCCAGAGGTACATATGCAGAAGTTACTTTTACACAATGTACTTAAGGCAAATAAGAGGGTACAAAATGTACATACATGCATGCTTCTATATGGTGGAAATTATAACTTTTCATATGGTGATATTAAAGCCATTCAAGACTCCCTATGTTAATGTACATGTATTTTCCATTACAAAAATCAAAGGCTTTAGAAAATGTAGACCAACTAAATCAAGTTGATAGCTATAAAATGCAAAATAAAGAGCAACAACCTGATGTGCTATCTGCAAGCATAACAAGCAGTGCTAGTGCATATCAAATTACATGTACAAGTTTCTGCATAATTGACATTAAAGGCAGCTTTTTCCATTTTTAAAAGTTCAAACAGTCATGATGTTAGGAAGCAAGTTTTAGCTATATTTATCAACACAAGAAATTGTAACGTCATGTTACGTTATGCAGAATGACACACGTGACTCGGGGCATCATATGTTGCAGAAAGTCTGCGGCGTCCCCCGTCTTTGCTGAGGGATGGTTGTAATGCATATTGACATCACAGAAGCAGTGGATTGCTCATCCCGCGACAATGACTGGAGTAACTGTTGTACAGTCAAAAATAAGACTAGTTCAATTTCTTGGAAATTACAGTTCAAACTTGCTTCATAACAACTTCTACCAACACAGATGAACTGTCAATAATCATAATCTTAGTTTGTTCAAAGTTCTCCACAAGCCCTACATCAGCGACTTGATGCATGACAACAGACTCTCCAAAAATAATTTAGCACATGCCTTCATCAAACCAGGTTTACAAGTTAGAGCTGTTTATTTCCATCCCTTTTGCCTTATCTAATTGAATGTCCTAGTAAGATAAAGTATATCATCTCCACAACCCTACTAAATACATATTTATGTACATGAAAGAAATAGTGCTTGATTGGAATTACTTTTACTATCAGCAGTTCAACCCAAAGCTACTACTTATTTATACATTCATCGACTAGTCCAGGACCAGTTTTCCTTAGCTGGGATATTGATGACCAATTTAAAGCAGTGACCGCTACTCATTAGGCCATTTATTGTGTAGCTAGCCCGAATGACGGGGTTATGTTATATCTTTAAGTCCCTGGACTGTTCAGCCCTCCTGGCCAAAGTCGTCTGTGAACTTCTTGAGTTTTGTCAGGTCGTTCTCATTGACGGTGGGGCGAGTCCTGCTGAGGGCCTGCATCATGTCACTCTGAAATCAACAGTCACAAGGTCTTAACTTTGATGCTTTATTCTCCAAATATTTTGCAGACTTAGGCCACACCAATTAAATTTCTTGCTTAACAGATTTTTCTAGAAAATACATGTAATGAAGCGGGCGGGCAAAAAAAAAATAAGTTAAAAACAGGCCTAGGCATCCTATCATGGCCCAAAATGGTACGATAGGAGCCATGAAGTCAACACACCAGGCTGGTTCAAATTTAAACAATGAATTTTGAACTTTCAATGATACCACTGCATTGAAAGATGGAATAACTGTAAGAACTAGGAAGAAAAGCACTGTTTCAACTGTTCAGGGCAAAATATGAGCATTTTGCAGTAACTGTTGATTCTGGATTTTTTTTTTACAAAAAATTAAGCGGGCAAATCCGAGAACCAACAAATTAAATTGGTTTGGCCTTATGTTGGCATTTACAAATAGAAACAAGAGGGTTAAAAAAATAGAGTACAAGAGCTTAACTGATAATAAAATATGAAATGTATTGAAAATGGATATTAGATTTCTAAATGACAAGACACAAAAAAGGGAAATCAATTCACAATATAGCCTTAACATGTGCATGGGTGCAGGCTCATATGGGTTTGTTCAGTGGATTGTTCATGTACAAAGTATATGGTTTGGAGACCAACAAAACGTTACAGTCAAAAGCAATTATTGGTACTGACATGGTTGCAGTGTTATAGTCAGTGTCTGCCTTCCATTTGACAGAACTTTGTGGCTCATGAGGAACAAACATTTTGCCCCATTCGTCTCCTTTGACAGACAAAAATTGGTGTGTTAAGAGACTGAAACAGATGTCATTAAACTAAATTAAATCAAGCTCAGTCTACTGGTCAGCAAAATTTGCACCTCTAAATGCAGGAAATAATGTTTCAGATTCAAGATTGTGAAATTTTACGGGGGGGAGCATGCCCCCAGACCCCCCCAAGGATTGTCAGGCCTTCAGTGCTTGACATGATGTTATATCATACTCTCCAAGCAGAGGTTTGGGTTTTGGGGGTATTTTTAGCGTGTTTTTAGGCTTTTTTATCGGGGTTTCTCTTTTGCACTGAATTTTTTTCCCGCCAAACCCAACCTCTGCCGGCAGTCGAAAGCTTCAATGGGATATAAACCTGATCACTTCAATACATTTCAGTCATTCTGCAAGTAGGTATGAACCAGACGCATGAATATACAGTCAGCAGGAGGCGTATGGCGGAATGGATGCCTTTCTGACTGGCTGGATGTGTGATAATCCACCACAGTAAAATGGATATCCCTAACGATAATTTGATGGTTCCCGGGGAGGAGCACTGTCACGTTTCCTGAATAGGTTTGCCCCTCCCCGAGGTGAGTGCCAGCAGAGGTTGGGTTTGGTGGGAAAAAAATTCAGTGCAAAAGAGAAACCCCGACAAAAAAGCCTAAAAACACGCTAAAAATACCCCCAAAATACAAACCTCTGCTTGGAGAGTAGTTATATCAAACAAAATTGAGATGATAGAAAGGGAATTCAGGCTGGCTAGAACACTGCATGATTGCCACCTAATATTCATAGAATCTTATTGAAAGTCTACATAATGATTGTATATATAGCAGGGCTCGAAATACTAGGTGCATGTGAACCTTATAATTATTAGTGCACCCAAAATTGGAGCTGTGCACCCAATTTATTTCTGTAGGTGCACTGATGCACCCAAATATTTTTGCAGGTAGTTTTGTACATATCAAATGTATAATAGTAGACAGGGTATTCTTGTCATCTGAGTGTCAGAAAAATAATAAAATCTTTGTTATAGTACTTGTTTAAGATTTTAAAGTTAGCTCCCATTTCAGATTCAGCTCAGAAGAGGAGCAGTAAGATCTGTAATTTAGGTTTTGTTTTATATGGTGCACCCCAAAAAATTTTTGTGCACCTAATTTTTTAGGTTGGGTGCACCAGTGCACCTATTCCCAAAGATGAATTTCGAGCCCTGTATAGGGAGCACGTTGGCAGAACGTACTGCACCTGCGCGAAACCCGTAATGTATTGTGCATAGCATTTCGGCAGAACGTCTCATATAAGGTTGTATTCGCTCATATAAGGTTAGCATTTCGACAGAAGTTTCCAAATGTTGTGTCGGAAAGAATATCCTATGCAACAGGCAAAATTCTGATGCAACGTTGACCAAAAACCCAACGAAAAACGTGAAAATACGGGTTCTGCGCAGGCGCAGTACGTTCTGCCAACGTGCTTGTATAGGGTAGTTTTCAGTGCTTACCAGAGTAACCACAGGTTCAGCCAGCTTGTCAGACGGCACTTCTGTCCACGCCATCTCTATAGCTCCTGGGCTGCCGGGGGAGCAGGGGGTCAGGAGGTCATCAACTATGACATCTGGGTCATTCCTGGATGGACCTCGCACCTGAGAAGTCAGAAAAACATGAAATTCTGCTGTAAAGCCCCTGTCACACATAGCCGAATATTGAACACTGTCGAACTCTGGTTAGGAGTAAGGTTAGATGGGTAAGATGGTATCGGCAGCAAGGTTGGCTGTGGTTGGCTGGTGTTCGGTATCGGCACAATTTGCACAATGATAGACCCACAACTCCTCAAAATAACTTTCTTTGTTTCTGTAACCTAGTACTCAACCACTCTCCCTGCACTCTACATGTACATGTACATGTATGCTGCAAACATGCATTCACACAAACTCACCCAAAACACCTCTGTACCCGATGGTACAAAATTAATGTAACACAGTAACACCATTAAGGGATTGACACCCCACTCCTTACTTAAAGGCATCCAATGTGATTTTAGAGCAGTAAAACTGGAAATATTATGAATAGGGCAATCTTTTTGATATTGACACATACTGCTTCACATTAGCACATTTCAATCAGTTACTGTATTTCATACTTTGGATATGCAAAAACAAGCCCCAAGATGAGTCCTTTATTTTAGGGGAGGTACCCTAAAACAATCAGCCCAGGGTCCTTCCAGTAACAATTTTCCATCAGAATTTTGGGAATTTTTGCTCCACGAGGGTCAAAATACATTTGTATAGTGTGGTTTTCAACTCAGTATGTAGATAAGTAACTAGAATATTGACTTCGAAAAATTGGGTTTACAAAAACTGCACTGGATGCCTTTAACATGAATAACAAATCATGTAAGTCAACACCAATACGGTAACAGTAACTCTTAGAGCATACAAAGAACACATGGGGAACAAGAAGAACCCTGACCTTTCTGAAATGTGTGGCAGACTGGACTTTCCTGACAGGCATCATGAGGGCATCCCGCACCACAATGGCAATGTCAGCACCAGAGTACCTGTGGGGAGACAAACTCTGTTAGAACTCAAACATGTTTAGTAAAACTCATCTTCTTAGTGTGTGTGTGTGTGTGTGTGTGTGTGTGTGTGAACAAGATAACTCCAGAAGACTTGAGATGTGCATGCGCGAGGTTCCTTGGTGGGTCCGGGGGCATGCTCCGCCGGAAAATTTTGAAAAATGAACCTTCTAAAATGGCATTTTGTGCGTTTTTGAGAGGATTTCCAAGAAAAAAATCAGAGATAAATTTTTATTCAATGACAAAGGGAGCAGTTTTTCTACGATTCAAGTCCATCTTTTCAAGAAAAATCTTGGACCTTTACATAAAAAGTGGACCAAAAAGTGGACCTTTACATAAAAAGTGGAACAAAAAGTGAGCCTTGTGTTTTTTTTTTCTGAACCCCCCCTGGCTACAGGCATGGATGTGGATATGATTTACATTGTACATGTACATTGTAGATGGCCCCCTGTCTGCTTGTTCGGATACTGCAGTGGAACTTCCGACTTTGACATCTTGACATAATATCCAGCAACTTCCTGTTATAATCAGGACGACATGGCAAAATTTCAGTGTAACACAAAGCCCAACGATCAGAGCAGGGCAATGTCTGTGTTTTTGTGCATAGAAGGGGACTTATTTTTAGTTTTTTCAGTTCACATTTCAGACAGATTTGTCTCTATCCAGCCCTGAATCTGAGGTGTAAATTGATAAGGAATTTATTGTACTGACAACAATAAAATTGAGGAAGAAAAAAACAAAGAACAAGTAAAATCTGAGATTTTATACGGGCTTTTTATTGTATATTTTTATATGTAATTTGTTAATGTTATGTATAGTTGATGGTGTTGAATTTTGTGTGTTAGAGAAGATGCATGTGCACAACAACAATTGTTGCGCGCCGCAGGACTAGGGGTTTGAACAAAGAATTTATGGAGACCGGACACCCCTCTTTGCAAGGGGTCATATACGTGGACCAGACCGAGAATATCTTAAACGGTCAACGGTCGCGACCATTTTCGCGCTCAAAGGGGTGTTCTGGGGCCACCAAAAGTCACCATTTTCATGCCCAAAAACACATACAAGCAATAAAAACAAAAGAACGTGCATCATCTACAGCCCAATAGCAAAACATACACCGAGTCCCCAAAAAATCCGTCCACCCAAACGCGAGAAACAGCTGCGAACATGAAAATCTAAATCTCTCACAAAAACCCTTCCACGGAAGGATGTCTCTTCCCCAGGAGGTAACAAACAAAAGCAGGATGAAAGGGAGAGTTCTTCTTACCCATCACTTTTCTTGCCTAACTCCCTGAAGTCTGGCTCAGAGATGTTGTGAGGTGTGTTCCCGATGTGGAGTTTGAACATGGTGGTACGAGCGTGGTCCTCTGGGAGAGGGATGTAGATACGCTTCTCAAACCTGCAGAACAAGCACAATTATCATTCTGTTACCTACAGTTATGTCATACTAACAGAACAAACACAATCATTCTGTTACCTACAGTTATGTCATACTAACAGAACAAACACAATCATTCTGTTACCTACAGTTATGTCATACTAACAGAACAAACACAATCATTCTGTTACCTACAGTCATGTCATACTAACAGAACAAACACAATCATTCTGTTACCTACAGTTATGTCATACTAACAGAACAAACACAATCATTCTGTTACCTACAGTTATGTCATACTAACAGAACAAACACAATCATTCTGTTACCTACAGTTATGTCATACTAAGTACCTGGGCCAAAATAAGGCCACACCAATTTAATTTCTTGCTTAACGGATTCGCCCGCTTCATTTTTTTTCATTTGCAAAAAAAAATTCAGAATCAACTGCAAAATGCTCATGTTTTGCCCTGAACATTTGAAAACAGTCCTTTTCTTCCTAGTTGTTACAGTTATTACATCTTTCAATGCAGTGGTGTCATTAAAAGTTCAAAATTCATTGTGTAAATTTTGAACCAGCCTGGTGTGTTGACTTCATGGCTCCTATTGTGTACAATTTTGGGCTATAATAGGATGCCTAGGCCTGTTTTTATTTTTTCGCCTGCCCGCTCCATTATTTTTCTACAAAAATCCGTTAACCAAGAAATTGAATTGGTGTGGCCTAATGTTTGATACAAGTGTTCTGGCCCATGTGATAACTAAGCAGTATAACACAGGGTTCTATTTAGTTATCACACAAGCTTCCAGATTTTTCATAGTCATAATCAAAACACATTTTGCACACCCCGAGTGCACTGCTTTTTGAAATTTGAATACCAGATTCGGAGATGTTGGAATTGACATTGTTACAATTTTTTGTTAGAGGACACAAACTTTCGCATTGCAAGGTTTTCTAGGTTGGGTATGACAAAAAATAAAACACAATAGGGGGTATTCTGTAGATCCCAGCCATCCTGCAAGTTGTATCACCCTACGCCTAAACAGTTAGCTCAGGGCAAGATTCATGGAACAGTTAATATACAGTCAAACCTGTCTATAGTGGTCACTCAAGGGACTGGCCAAATTTGACCATGGACAGGTGACCACTATAGAGAAACGGCCGGTTAGTTGACCTACCCACCCCAAAAAAGTGACACATGCTGTCAGTACCAACAGAGATGTCTTTGTTCTCAAACATTTGAAAACATTCATTGCACAGTTAAAGCTCTTTTTAGATGTACATGTTATAGTTCAATAATAACTGTTGTTCTTTTGCTTTAAAAAAAGATATTCAGAAATATTGCAAGGAAACATTAATGATCTGCGGGACCGGAATGGGGTGACCGCTGACCGCGTTGAACAGGTGACCACTATAGACATAATTCTTAATGCTTACATCAATGGGAAAAATTCAAGGGACCGGCAAAAACTAACCGCTATGGCCAAGTGACCACTATACAAAGGTGACCGCTTGTACAGGTTCGACTGTACATGTATCTAGTATGGCTGTTAACTACAATGTAATAAATGGTTTCTATGACTTTTTTCCTACCGTCTCCTTATAGCAGCGTCCAGGGTCCATGGGATGTTGGTGGCTCCCAGCACCAAAATACCATCATTGTCATTGCCCACACCTGAAACACAAGTCATACAGGTGTCACCACTAGGCTGGTCTACAGGTAATGCTTGTCTTTAGTTGTAGTCCCTGTATTCCCCAAAAATGATTGAAATCATTTCACATAGAGACCTGCAAGACACTGTTAGTAGGATTGTTCTTAGTACATGAGGATCCGCTGGGGAAGGCGGGTGCCCAAGTGTGTGGGTCTCAGATTCGCAACCTGTTACTAGTATCCACCTTAAACAAATCCACGCGAAGGCCACCGTATCCTACTCGGAAAATCTGTATCTGTATATCTGTACATGAATCTGCATCTGTGCATGACTGTATCTGTACATGAATCTGCATCTGTGCATGACTGTATCTGTACATGAATCTGTATCTGTGCATGACTATGTATCTGTACATGAATCTGTATCTGTGCATGACTATGTATCTGTACATGAATCTGTATCTGTGCATGACTATGTATCTGTACATGAATCTGTATCTGTGCATGACTGTATCTGTACATGAATCTGTATCTGTGTGCATGACTGTATCTGTACATGAATCTGCATCTGTGCATGACTGTATCTGTACATGAATCTGTATCTGTGCATGACTATGTATCTGTACATGAATCTGTATCTGTGCATGACTGTATCTGTACATGAATCTGTATCTGTGCATGACTGTATCTGTACATGAATCTGTATCTGTGCATGACTATGTATCTGTACATGAATCTGTATCTGTGCATGACTATGTATCTGTACATGAATCTGTATCTGATTGGAAATAAAGATATCGAGTGATTGTCATAGACATGTAGTGAATTTTATGACTTTTATGTAATGTTTACGTTTCTTAGTAATGGTCGTATGTACATGTATTTTGTAATTTTGTAAAGTTAGTATGAATTCTGTAAAATTTGAATACTTAAAAGCATCCAATTTTGACAAACTAAGATATATACCAGTAGAAACAAGTCTGGGCTAGTTTACATAGATGAAGCTACAGCTTCTGTATTAGCTAGGATATTGGGATTATTTACACTTCTCTATCAGACAGGAGCCTCCTATGGAGTACTGCTTCTCACTGCTATATGTAGCTGATGTAGACCACACATTTGCAGTGAGATAATCCCTAACGTGGCTGAATTTGTATCCCCATTGCCTTGGTTAGCAAGGTCCAAGATAATACCTTGTTCTCCCAATGTAATGAAATTATTTTTGGAAGCTTCTGTCGGTGTTATTTTACCTTGCATCTGCACGAGGAACTCTGTCTTCACGCGGCGTGCAGACTCGCTCTCGTTCTCCCCGCGGGCACTGCACAGGGAGTCCACCTCGTCCACAAGGATGATGGACGGCTTGTGCTGACGAGCCATGTCAAACAGGTTCTTCACCAGCCTGGGCAACACATGATATCATCTTTATCACCATCACCATCCATATCATCACCATCATCATCCACGTAATCATCATCATCAACACCATCATCATCCACATAATCATCATCATCACCATCATCATCCACATCATCACCATCCACATCATTACCATCACCATCATCCACATAATCATCATCATCATCACCATCATCATCCACATCATCACCATCCACATCATTACCATCACCATCATCCACATAATCATCATCATCATCACCATCATCATCCACATCATTACCATCCACATCATTACCATCACCATCATCCACATAATCATCATCATCATCACCATCATCATCCACATCATTACCATCCACATCACCATCACAACCATCACAATCCACATCATCACCATCACCATCATCCACATATTCATCATCATCACCATCATCATCCACATCATTACCATCCACATCATTACCATCACCATCATCCACATAATTATCATCATCATCACCATCATCATCCACATCATTACCATCCACATCACCATCACAACTCCACATTATCACCATCATCCACATAATCATCATCATCATCATCCACATCATCACCATCCACATCATTACCATCACCATCATCCACATAATCATCATCACCATCATCATCCACATCATTACCATCCACATCACCATCACAACCATCACAATCCACATCATCACCATCACCATCATCCACATAATCATCATCATCTCAGTTGGTGTAAGGCGTCCCACGGTGCCAATTTACTGATTTTTCAGGTCCTTTCGAAAAAATGCCATAACTCAGCCGTAGCTGGTCAGAAATGGTTCAAACTTGGGGGAAAGGCAAAATACAACTTGTTGAGTGTTGAAATATTACTTTCATGTTGTTATATTTCTTATATTTGTATATTTCTATGTCTGATATGATGCATAATTCTTAAACAGAAAACGTAAATCGAGGAACTATAGCCAACATCATAGACAGACACTTTTTGGAGGGTGCATTCTTACATCTGTCACCATTTAGAAACTGTTTTGATATATTTGAAATATCATTCCTGCTTTTTATGAAACATGTTTTGTCCATTTCAATGCCATAATTTTAGGGTAACCCTAACTTCCTTGCCCTATATCAAAAGACAGTTCATGATAAGCAAAAGGATCTAAACAGGTTTGGGTAGTTCAGGACATTACCAATAATTCTACTTTGAATCTGACGTTCCCTGGGCATGGCTATAGTTCCTCAAAACGCTTTAAAGTTAAGATTATGAATCTTTACCTTCTTAGCAAATTCTAGCTGTCAATCACGTCGGTAGGCCAATTAGTCGTGTATTTAGCACCTCTATGAGACGTAATTATCTGTAATTTGCCCTTGCCACAAGACAAAAGGTTGGCTGTCTTTTGTTATGCGTAGTAATTGTTCACTACAGCTCGGCCCAGCTTTCCTTTTTTTTCAATATAGGTCTTGAAAGAAAATGTTTTACAGACAGTAACAAATTGACAACAATTGAATGTAAGGTTTATACGGCTCATAGCCTGGGTGCCAGACTGTTACCAGGGCTGCTATGTAGGCTACCTTCTCAATCCAGGGGACAGCATTTCCCTTCCGAAAGTTTTTTCAAGGGGTCTAACCAAGGAGGTTAGATATAACCTCCTTGGTCTAACCAAACTCCATGGTCTCTTGGTATATCATATCTCCTTGGTCTAACCGAGTCTAATAACAGGGCCTAGCATGTGTATTGAGGCTGGGAACTGTCTGGCATATACAGTAGTCTGAATGGGTCAATACTGGGTGAATTTGCAGAGATTAGCTTTACCGGAAATAGTTGGGGCTAACCTTTTCCAAGATGTTCCAAACAATTTCTAATAAGGTACTGTCCACACCCTAATGTTTTAGATACTAAACTGGCACAGCCGAACACTGCATGTAGCCGACCTTGTTCCCGACTCTTAACCAAGGAGGTTATATCACCATCATGATGGTTGGGTGAGCTCGGGAGGCCATGTTTAGCTATCTGTTAGTGTTACAGGGAATCACTGTGGCCCATTCTCCTTGTCAGTTATCACCAATTTTTATGGGTTCTAATATTTGTGGCCCTTCCTAAAGGGGCCCTTTGTAGGTCATGCTGGAGGTAACTTACATATATCTTCAGGTTGTTTGGGGGCCAGATTCAGATCAGAATAAATGTGTTGTAACTTACAGCAAGAGCTTCAAATAGAACAGTTTTGTCTGTGTTACTAGTACATGTATTTATGCAAGCCTGACATCCGTTCTGCTCTTGATCAGCCAATTGAAAACAAAAGAGGGGTACCAATTAACTCCACAGGATGGAATTAGCGCGCAAATCAAATGCAAAACGGCAGGCGGGGCAGAGGCAGTGGGTTATCACTCAAACTGTTGCATATTTACAAGCTTCAGGACTGCATTTGGCTCATTACAATATTCAAGTAGATCATTATAATATTAAATGAGATCTTTGCTGTGGTCAACCGTGGGACGCCTTACACCAACTGAGATCATCCACATCATTACCATCCACATCACCATCACAACCATCACCATCCACATCATCACCATCACCATCATCCACGTAATCATCATCATCACCATCATCATTACCATCCACATCACCATCACAACCATCACCATCCACATCATCATCATCACCATCTGCCATCCACATCATCACCATCATCATCAACATCATCTGCATCCACATCAGACAGCACCAGACAGAGAATCAGAAGAAGGTCATGAAGGCGCATGTAATTGTTTTGCTTATTTGAATGGACAACAGTTTGATTAGTTGGAGGAAGCTTAGGTGGAAAAAACAACCCAAGTTTTAATGGGCTACATGATAATAATGGTGATGACCTGTTTGTCCATGTATAAAATTCTGTTTCGATCATAACCAGGCCTTATGACACCATATACACCTTGAGGCAGGTCATTAACCCTATGTTCTACCCTGAGTTTACAAGATGTGCTCACTTCTCACTCTCTCCCAGCCACTTGGACAGCAGGTCTGATGAGGACACAGAGAAGAAGGTGGAGTTGTTGGCCTCTGTGGCCACAGCTTTGGCCAGGTAAGACTTCCCTGTTCCCGGGGGCTGGCAAACAAAACATCTGAGTGGTCAGTCGCTGGACACTACAGATATGCATCCTGAAGTGATCACTTTTAGCTGTATGTCAGGGAAGAGGGCCTGATCTGGTAGAATCAGTGATTTCACCGGTAGAGACTCCCATCTCTGCCGAGAGGATGAGGTCTATTGCTATCACTTAACATTGCTTAACATTTCCTAGAAGTTAAACATTCAATCACATTTTAATTTACTGGTAGCTAATGATATCATATATAAAGCCTGTGCTTGCCATAAAAATGAATCAAAGATTGCACCAGCAGAGACTCCAACTACATGAGTCTGTACCCTCACATATACAAACCACATTGTACCCAAAATGTTGAAAGTCCTATTGCAAACTGCCTGCACCAGTTCATGTATGCAGATGAAAGCATTTTCATCTCAAAGGCACAAGTTACTGGGAGTGGGAGGAACCGATTCTGAAGTATTCTGCCTTTATACTACTTGATTTGGAATGTACATAAAATACTGGCCATATAATAAATCGCAATAGGCAAAAAATGGTGAAAGCAAAATAGTTCCCTATAATATAAATAGGCAATACACAAAACATGCATATATGGAGAAAACAACATAGTTTCCTTACCCCAAACAGCAATATTCCTCTCCATGGTTTCCTATTCCCTGTGAACAGGAGAGAAAATAACCACATGTTAACAAAGTGCCACAGAATATGGAGCAATGTTACAGACCAGCAAGGCTGGACTGACAAACACCAACCATTACTGAACACACTCCCGTTTACACTCAAGTGTTTCTAAGGTCTAGAAAAAAATGTTGTCAATGAATGAGTGCCAGTCCTGAAAAAATTAGGATCAGTAGGAAGAGATTTTTTTCTCGTCTTTTTTCAGACTCTGGTTATCTCTAGCGATCCAACTTATACATGTACAAACTTTAAGTAAAACATGCATGACACTTATATTTTTGATATCAATGCTGGAAAATCGATTGTTTCATCATCACTCAGGTGTCAGATCATGGAGCTAGAAAAGGTCGATCAGCTTGGAAAGTTTATGTCCCTTGCAAGGCTAGGGTTGGCAGTTTTTCTAGTGTCGGTCAAGAAACAGGAAACACAGTCAACATTTTTTTTCCAGGCCTAACATTCAGCTGGTGCAGCCAAACAGTAGAAGGCCTCACCAAACACCAGCCAACCACAGCCCATCTTCATTTGATTTGATTTATTACTCCATGAAGGAGGTCAGGACCTCCGGACGGAGTGTTGTGATAGGCTGATTTTTCGTGTTCGCAGTCAAAACACTGGGTTCTCTTTGTGTAATCGGCACGCAATTTTATACGCCGTCTTCGGGCATGCCCGTGTTGATGCACGAATGTGTATTTTTGCCGTTGCAGCTTTCGCGGTCAATGTAATATTGCAGACGCACCCCTACAATTACGAGGCGAATTGGAATGGTCCAGAAAAACGCGTTGTTTGGAATAGCAGTGGGG